CACACACACGTGTGTTTCACAACAACCAGAAGAAGAGCCAACAGAGTAGTTACGCGGGGCCTCTGTGAGTTCGTGCATTTCCTCCGTGTCGTGGTTCACATTGGTATAGAATGTGCAGGCATTGAACCTTCCCGGTTTCCCGCTGCAATTCTCGATTGAACATGCTGTATCTTGCCAGCGGAACCCGTCCAAGGATCTGACGACATCAACAGGAAGATGACACCGCAGACTATGGATTCCACCTTTGCCTGACATGAAGCATTCTTGTCGCTTGTCTCTCCTTGGACGCCGGATCTGTCCCACCTGATTTGGCGAAGAACGGCGGAAAAAGAGGTTGTAGTCCTGACGAATCGCTTGTTCATGATTCGACTGCAGCCACATTGGGTCACCCAAGACTAGAATCCCCATCATTCCAACATACAGGATGCAAAACGAGTGCGACAAACATAAGCAGCACTCGTCCATGTACTGCTCTTCGGAGAAGATAGGTTTCCCAGAGGATACCTGAAGTGCGCGGGTTGCAAGCAGTAGCGACAGTGCGCTTGACCCTTCCTTAGGTCGGGGCAGCCATGAAACAAAAGATGCTGACCACCAACAGGAAGATGTGCACCAGTACCAAGACGAAGCTGACGATGTTCACGCCTGCATCCTGAAACACATCGGACGATGGAGGATTGCTGAACTTCTACGTACTTGCCTTAGCAGTGCCCGCCTTCAATGATACGACAACCCAAGTGTAGACGAAACTGAGAGCTACGGCCACGAGGACAGTGCAAAACATCACCGTCCAGCAGTCCTCATTGGCGCGAAAACAAGATGCCACAAATCGAAATCTCTAAGTGCAGCCCGCTAAATCCGGCATCCTGAAAGCTTCCGACGCCTTTCTGCCTGCCGCAAAACGGCAACTGATCTGTGGGCGTGGAAAGCGTGGAGGAAATCTCATCCAAGAGCCCTGCAGACGCTCACCCAGATTCAATGGCCCTCCGAGCACTTCTGCCTGCCAGCACCACTGAATGGCAGGCCCCATGTCCGACATCACGGCATGGCCTTCAAGGCTTCATTCTTCGGCACACAGTACCGCCCAGCCAGAAGCTCGGAGTCATAAGTTGTGGAGTACCTCGAGTCTGTCAGGTGCGCGGTGGTGCACATGTCAAAGGACTTTGCCAGCTTGCAGCATACTTCGATTTTGGCTAGCACGAACTCTCCAATTCGACACGATCGATGCTTCAACGTGTGCCATGCAATGCATGTCCTCCACATCGATCCGGTGCAGCGCCAATTGCAGTTGGAGAACATCTTCTTCACTGCCATACGACCACCAATCTGTGCGTGTAGAGCCGGAGAGCCATGTGGGCGCCTTCTGATCCCTTCGGTCCTGCCCTTATGCAGTCAACTGAAGGGGAGCACGCTCGGTCGTTCCAAAGACGAAACGAAAAGCGCCAACACAGGCCTTTGAAGGACATTTGTTAACGAGTCCTTTCCTGCCGGAGGAGCTTTTGCGGCTGTCGGACATTAAGTCCGGCTGCACGGAGCTAAACATAGATGGACTGTTTCGACAAAGACCGAGACATAGGCATGGACGTTCTACCCGACCAAAAGCTGGTGCTCCCTTCCCTGAAAAACTTCGAGGACATTCCGTGAAGACGTGAGTGGCAATCGCAGAGCAGAAACACGTGCCAATATGCGAACAGCACGCTCCGATGGAATCTAAAGCAACTGAGAACATCACACAGTCTCCTCGCGGAACATCAAGAAGTAGTTCTGTACACTGCCAAGTTGGCCACCTCTTCATCATTTTCAACGCCGCAAGAAAAAGAAACAAATGCTGTCTGCATGCCTGGGATGTTCGGCACGGGCTCGATGGCATATGCCGGCCCGTTGCCCTGCGCTCGCATCAAACACCTGCGTCGGATGCATACCCGTGCAACCTGCCAACTTGTTACGGCTCAACATCCCACAAGATTAATCATGCCAGGCTGTCTCAACCTGGTTGGGCCCAAGCCTTGCTTTCGCACTGCTGCAGAATTGAAGTTGTCCGTGTCCCTCTCTCGTTCTTGTCTTGTGTCCCGTTGCCCCTTGTTTCTCTTATAGTCTTCCGCTAGCTTTGCCTCATCCTCTTCTGATTCTTGGTCGTCCTCCTTCTCTTCATGATCTGCTTCTTGTGTTCTCGACTTGCCGAAGCGAACCTAGAAAAGCCCGCAGCAACGTCACGGAAGAGCTGCAAAAACCAAACTCTTTGCTCAGATAAAGTTTGCCTTACATCCGTGCTTTACGGGTTCGGATGGAAAATCTTTGCGCGAGCGTTACATTTTTGTCGCACGAGCATGGCACAGCTGTCTGTTGCCCGTACGCATCGACTGCTTTGCTAAGGATCCTAATTACTCATGCCTCCTAGAGCGGGGTGTATGGATGAGAGTTCTCCATCTTTCGCGGTTCTGGAAAGTTGGTTGGACCTTGCGACACAAAGGAGTGTTATGCATTCTCATAACAAAAGTGGATTCGTGTGCTCGCTGTATCTGTGATACGGTGGGTATACTGAAAAAAGCGTCGTGAATATCTGACTGGGAAGGAGGGGCATCTGAGGCGATATAGTCAATTCGTTGCACCGACTCCGTGTCCTATGAGGCATGACTCCGCTCAATAAGAGAGGGGACGACCGAGAGGAGGCATGTCTATAGGCGTGCGAGTCCATAAATGTGACTTGGCACTCAATGAATGTGTAATGTGTCGACATGACGATGTAATTGGCCTACCAGTTGCAAATGCTGTTATGAATAGAGTTGGGAAGGAGTGGGAACCCGGCGTGACGAAAAAGCGAAGCCAGCGAGATACTCATTCGAACAGTCCGCGGTGGAGGGCTCAAGGACGCGGTGGTAGAAGGAGGATTTGATCAAAAGTAAGTAATGCACTGTCCATATCATAGGCGAGTATGGAGATGTATGGAGAGAACGACGGAACGAAATACCGTGAGTTTCCAGGAGGTGGAAGAGCAGCGTGGGAATAAAGGGACGGAGGAGTCTGGAGGCTGCAACGGCCTGAGAAACCCCTAGTTCAAGTTCTTTCTACTGGAAGACGAGGCGTCGTAATAGACACCAAGGTACTTGACTCCTCTGATGACTGCACAGCAGTGAAGTCATAACTGTAAGCTGAGCAGAAGCGGCAATCGCAGGGGTTCGAGAGGGTGGGGGAGTAATAAATTTTCTGAGTACTGTACTCGGAGATGTTCGCACTTTTCCTGGTTAAAGGTAAGGCTTCTGGATTAGGCGGAAAAGACAACTAAGCTGTGCTGCTGAGCACGAACGGAGGACCTTGTCGTCCGCATACCCTAAGTCCCTAAGTCCCACAAGGAGAAGGGACACGAAAAACACCCCATATTTCGCCATAACGGTTTTGGCAGCGTTGTTCGACGTCAAAAAATTAATGGGCAAGAACGAGACCGAACAGGTATGGTCCCGGTATGGTGAAAGGGGGCATCCCTGGCGGAGCCCTTTGGTTTGAGTTTGCCGGAGCGATTTCTGCGAGGAGTCGCGGACCACTAAGGTAGGGAGTGCCACAATGACGACTCGGGTGTGGGCGGGGATTCCAACGTGCTCCATCGCGGCGTCAAGCGCTGCAAAGGTGACGGAGTCGAACGCCTTCGACCAATCCAAGATGAGGGCGTTTAAGGGGGTATCTTGCCTTTCAAAAACTTGGAGCAGCTACCCTTAGCGTGGATGGGTTGGGTGGTGGAGCGGTTTTCACGGAAGCCGTGGAGCGGAGTTTAGGGTCGATGTAGGTTTGCAGGCGAGGTTGAAGCATAGAGGCGAATATTTGATAAGAGACATTCGTGAGCGATATAGGTCGATAATTGGATAGAGAACGCGTATCCTTTTCGTGGTTTTTGACGAAGGAGTCGGGGATGGAGGCTTGGGCATAGCATTGGTTATAGTAGTCCAAGGATATAGCTTCAAACCAAAAGGGGCATGTGTATAGGTTTCACCTGGTATGTCGTTTGGGCCGGGGCGATTTTCGGGGCTTAAGTTTGCGGAGAGCATTGTCCAGGTCTTGCATAGTGAAGGGAGAATCGATGGAGGAAGCTTCGGGTTGGGGATGGGTAACAGGGACCGGTGGGTCGAGTTGGGAGTGCCAAATTTGCTGGGAGAGACTATCCGCAAAAGTTTTGGCGCGTTGGGAGGAGGAGACCAACCTAGTGGGTTTGACGGTCATGGGTTCATTGTTGGACGGAGCTACATTGAAAATCTGTAAGGAGATTTTGCGCAATGAAACCCTCTGTGTCCTTCGAGCGGCTGTCTTTTTCTGTGGCTGCGCCAAGATTGTTTAAGGGCGGAGGAAGAAATCCAGACTTTTTGGCTGCTTGTGGGAGGAATAGGATGAGAAGGAAGTGTTCTTGTATAATAGCCTCTATGAGGATTTCATCCTGTTCTGTAGTGGCTTTAGAAGACCATTGCTCCTGGTTAAAGCCGACATCTGGGGGAGCAAGCACGTCAGCTAATTCATTACCAGGAAAACCTGTACGGGAGAAGACTCTGAGAAGGGTGGTGCGATATTCCGTATCGCGGTAAAACATTTCTGGGCGAGGGTGACCAACTGGTGGTGTTTTGTGGGGAAGGCATCACCCTGCAAAGCGGAGAGGGCATACAGAGAATCTGTATAAATGTATAAATGACTAACTCAGACAGATCAGTGTATGGGGAGTGATTTAGAAGAACATCAAAACGTTCGACGCCTGCTTTGAGCTCTGAAGTGTTATTGGAGCCGGGCAGCGGGTGGGGAATTCAGTAGGGTGAATGTCAACCGGGCCCCAAGAACAGAGCCAGGTGTCATCAACGGGAGGGTGTTGGGATGGTAGCAGTGGTAACGGTGAACCCCCATCCAACGGGGTTGCTGTAGGAGACAACACGGTTGTTGGGGCATGACCCATCTGTATAGGCTAATAGAAAAGGAGCGCCAACGTGCTCTGCTTTAAACTCGTTACCAGTGTTGGCCAAGAGAAAGGACTCAATGGACGAATAGAAAAAGAAGAGTTGAGTGTAGTCGTATCGGTTCTTGTGGGCAGGGGGATTGTCTACATAGTGGGTCTGGACAGTGAAAAGGAGAGCAAATGATGCGAATTTATGAATTGCTGGAACTGGGTGCTAAATGACAACGTGTCTCGGAGAGGTTATGGCAGGAAGGTACTCCAAGGTAATCCATTGTAGGACAGCGTCCTCCTGAGTGTGTGGTCGGTACACGTGATGGGATACCAGGTGCCGAAAGGGTTCCGAAACGGTTTGGGGGACCAGGCATCCATGTGCCGCTGAATACGAGAGTTGTCCCTTTCGGGTTCCGGCATGGTCTGACGCCTGCCCATGGTGGCGGGGCCTACAATCGTGTGTGCCGTCAATACTTGCATCAAGGCGGGAACTGCAATCACCCCAAAAGAGAAGATGCACTGCATTAGGTCGATTGAGAATAAAGTCCTCGAGATCCGCCCAAAATTCGATTTTTTGTTCACGGTCCGTTTCAGGATTTTCGACGGTACTAGGTGCGGTGCATATAATATATGATATATGTTAACAACTATAATGGGATGGTGGGTATCGATTGTAATCTCGCAGATGCGAGGGAGTGGGGCCTGAAACGTCTGACCTGAGAGCGAAGGGACGGGGAAACGAAAAAACAACTCCGTGGTGTTTGTCGGCGCCCTCCCATCCAGTTTTGGTGAAGGTGTGAGAAAAGTCCAAATTAGCTTCCTGTGCACAAAGGAGAGAGATGTTAGGGTGTTTTTGCAGTAGCGGATAATACTATCACGCGAGGTCCTTTAACATTACAGGAAAAAAGGCCGAGATGAGTGGAAGTAGGGAAGGGTCTTGTGAGCGAACTCGAAGTAGACCGCGCGTGGTTGTGGTGGAGCTCTGCTTAATGCGTTTCCGGCTGTGTTCGACATAAGTCGGCTTCGGGTGGATCGGGGTGAAGGATTCTGGCAACTGTGCACCCTCAGGGTGGAATCCTTAGCGGAACTTTGCCATACCCTCAAATTTTGGCGGGCTTGACGTCGCCTATCTACCCACCTTTGTTAGCGGCATGTCGCCTCCGGGGCGATGGGCCATGCTCATACTGTAAGTGTGGCATATCGTAAGTGTCGTCGCGACCGGTGTCTTGCACACGCCGTAATGTAAGCCTGTCGTATCGTAAGTCTCGTCGTCGGGTGCCCGTCGAAAAAAGCGAGGCCTTGTACTATATTGCGAAAGGAGATTTAAAAAAGTCTCGCCACGGTTGGGAATGAGGTCTCCTTCATTCGCAATCGCATACTGACGGCCGTTATTGCGGACACTGCGAGCAATTTGCCGCGAGGGGTGCGGCTTTGGTAACAAAGCCTGCCAGGGGAGGGACACCAAGGTGCGAAAGGGGACTCGGGCTGAAAACTACGCGAAGCGTCACTGCACTCACACACCGTAGCCGATGACACGCAAGGTGGAACGTAGTGTAAAGCCGGCCAGGCCGGTAATGTACGTGTTCCGTGAGGTAAGTAGGGCACTCCCCGGGATTTGTGGAGAGAGCAGCAAGGCTCGCCATGGCTCGCCTCATCTTTGTTGGAGCCGTTCCTCCGGTGGATACTGGAGGCTGGAGGGGCGCGAAGGCCCGATCATAACGTGAGTGTTGCAAGTAATGTTGCATGATGTAAGCGTCCCAAATTGGGAGGCAGCGAAAAGGCTCGCGCAGAAGAAGGCACCTGGGCCGGGCTATGGGTCAGGGAAGGGGGTATTTTGAGCTTTCGAAGGATAAATGGATTCACGGAAGTGGAGTTGCATGACAATCCATGCCATAACGACGAAGAAATCGTGAAAGCTCGATTCCGAGAGGAACGACGCGCAAGCTTCTATGCGCTTGCCCTTATTGTTCCGGTGTCTACTTAATAGGAAGTGGTTGTCTGAACATTCTTCGGAGAGCTGCACGGCTGAATAAGTCATACAAAACAACGAAACTTTCGTTTGGAGCTTTCAAACCCTTGATTGGGGTTTG